GAGCCTGCTGCTGAGCCTGCTGCTGAGCCTGCTGCTGAGCCTGCTGCTGAGCCTGCTGCTGAGCCTGCTGCTGAGCCTGCTGCTGCGCCTGCTGTTGCGCTTGCTGTTGCGCTTGCTGTTGCGCTTGCTGTTGCGCTTGCTGTTGCGCTTGCTGTTGCGCTTGTTGTTGCGCTTGCTGTTGCGCTTGCTGTTGCGCTTGCTGTTGCGCTTGCTGTTGCGCTTGCTGCTGAGCCTGCTGCTGAGCCTGCTGATCCTGCTGCCTGCGTTCCAGACTGTTGCCCGGCCGCCTGAACCTGTCGGGATCGTCAGACTCGTATTTCCACTGCCCGAACCACACACAGGACTCCACCTCCGGCAGCGTGGGTCGGTCCCCAGGGTCCTTGGCGAACATCATCAGCATGGCATCGGCGCAGTCCTGCGAGAGCATCTCCGAGAGCGGCAATTCTTTGTTGATTACCCTTTTTCGCCGTGCGTTGAGCGCTTGCTTTCGATCGGCGTAGATTGTCTGGTCAACCCCGGGTTGCCGCCAATCCTGCACATAGCCGATGTGCCGGTCCCACTTGGGGTCCTCCCAGGGTGCGATTCCGTGCAGCAGCTCGTAGATGTTCGAGGCCAGCACCCACAGGCCGGTCATCCGCTGGTCGTGGGGGAGCTTAATCTGGAACTGCGAATCCTTCTGAGCTTCCTCTATATAGCGAGCCCTAAAGAGCTCGAGGGTCAATTCCGGCGTGAGGCCGCCTTCGTACGCGGGTACGTAGGTGAATTCTCCCTTGAGATAGTCATTATCGGTGAGGGCGAATGTGTAGAGTCCGATGTCTATGATGATGGTCTGTTTGTATCCGGATTTCACGAGTGAGCAGTCGTTCATATGGGAAGAAGCAAAAGAAGAGAGCATGAGAGTCGCGCACAGGGACCATCACCGTGATGAGAGGGCAAAATGAGGGGGGAAAAGAACGTACGTTCAAGTCTTCTTCTATGATGAAATTATCGTTCTTGAGATCGTCGTGGCAGATATGCATGTCGCGCAAGTAGGCGACGCCTTCCAGGAGTTGAGATGCAACCTTGCAGATCATGTGCTCCTCCAGGGACGATTTCTTGTATCTTATGAGTTGACTGGCGGTGCAAGCCCCGAATTTCCGCGCGAGCAATTCCTCATAATCAGGGTTTTTGGAGGTATAAGAAGCTTCGGCAACGGCCTCATCGAGGTGGGCGGACATCACGATGGCCTGGTATAACTTGTGGGAGTAGACCGAGTCAAGGGTCGGGAACCGGCCACACTCGTTGGCAAGAAGCAGAATGTACGCCTCAACTGGGATGTAGTGGTGTTCATCTTCTTGTAAGAATAAGGGGGCCATTACCGGTGAGGGTCCAATCGTGCCGACAACCCTGTATTTCTCGTGATAATTCACCGTTGTGGCGATTGTAACCAGGTTCTCCATCTTAATAGCGTACAAGCGACCTTCATCGTCTCCTGAAAGAGAAGAATCAGTAAAAAGTCGCTCCATACAATCGCGTAGGATTTTCGGGGACAACTCACTTTTATGGGCAAGGAGGACAATACCGTAGCCTGGTGAAGAAAAGGGTCATCAGTGAGCCAAGAGCATTTGCAGGACAGTGCCGAATGGGGGAGGACATACTTCCACTGCCGAGGATGCCCCGGATAACGAAGTGTTGTTTCTTCAGTATTTTGCATAGAGACTTCCATCTGAGACCTATCTTCCTAGCCTCCTCACCCCTGCCTACATAAAGTTCCGGGTGCTGTAGAAGCCGAGTCTGGTACTGGTGGCTATCGTATCTCTCGCCGCTATCCTTCTCGACGTGCCGGCATCGGGATACTTCTGTTTCCCGGCCAGCCAAGGCTGCATTATAGCGATGGGAGAGAACTTGATGAAGGCTTGGGAAATTACTCGCAAGCTTAGTGCCCGGCTCCAGGAGCTCACGGATGACTGCAGCGAGTTCTGAATCATATTTTCGAATGTGCCGGTAACTTTGGAAGTACTTGGGATCGTGCTTTCTGTCACGGGTGATCAGGTCAATAAGGTGTCGAAAATCATAGCCCCATCTCTGTACTGGAAAAGAATTCATAATGACTCTCGGTAGTGGTTTAGATGAGTTCGTGATTTTGTTGAGCAAGGACCAAATAGTCTAGCGTTTTATCTGGATACCCCTCATAGCCCAGGAAGCCATGGGAGGCTCCATTTTAAATGAGTTCTCTTGGTCCTTTTGAATGAGATTGAAAGAACTATCAGGAAGAAAGCAGTTGATGCGGGAGAGATTCAGTGAATAATGGCTCATTCTAGGGGTGTTGATAGTACGGCGTATCATAAGGCTGGAGGTCAGTGTATGAAAGCCATTGCGGGAACAGTCCATTGTGTCGGCTGGCTCGACACAAAGCAGGAACAAGACATGAAGCCGGTGGCTCAACAAAGAAGCCAGAGCTTTTGCTAGAATTGATAAAGAGTTGATGAGTGTCAAGTCACAAAGACCACAAAGAAAGAAATATTACCATACCTAAAAAAGCAACAATCCCCATGTCTTCACTCGTCCTTGGCTATGCTGTCGCATTCTTGCGTTTCTTCTTCAATGAGTTCTAACTCTAAAGAGCAGGCATATTCAATCAAGTCTGATTGTTAGTAGGTAGCTAACATAGACCAATGATGATGACAGGCCCTTCAGCTGGGGGGCTCACATCGCTCGAACCTGAACCTGGTCACAGGTACCTAACCTATAAGGTTAGGTAGTGTCTACACCTGCAGAAGTGAGAGGGTGAGTCACAACTCGACTAGCCTATCAGCATGTCGATGTACAAAGAGGCTTTGCGCGTTTTCCCGTGGCTGTCGCCTGGGTAATGCTGCTGAGAGTTGATGTCAAGGTCTTCTCCTATGTCCGAAGACGGTGTTTTCTAAGAATAGGAAAGCCTCCGATTGCAGTGCGGATGCTTGCAAGCCTGGGCAGCTTAGCACTGGGCAAAGGGTAATAGCGGTCACTTCTCTCTTTGCTGTGTGCAGCGGAAGTGATGGAAGTGATGGAAGTGAGTGAAGTACTGAAGTATGTCGCGCCGCGTCTATGGCATCTTCCATCCATATGCAACGCGATAAGGGATCCACCTGGCCCGTGGTGAAGTACAGATCCATGTGGTCTTGTCCAATGTCCTTCGAGGTTGAAGGATGACTTGTAATTGTTTTGCAGCTTTGCAGCCGGGCGCTTTAAGCGCCACAGTGGCTTGGCTGCATGAACCTGACCGTGCAAGTTCCCCCACCACCCAATCGGCAATCACCTTCGTTGGATGGGAGTGTTGGAACTGATCGCTGAATGGCTACTAGGTAAAGTAGGCAGGCTACAAAAGAGCTTTCTGTTGCCTGGACCCAATTTCAGCCACTCTGCAGGCAAAGGGGGTGAAGGGGTGAAGGGGTGAAGCTGAGGGATTTCTCTCGAACCCACGCGGTGATACCTAGTACTGTAGTTACTGTACCTAGTAGTTATTAAGCAGTGTAAATTCAACTTCACTTTTGGCATCTGACATAGCTGGCTGATGGTGTTTCTCACCCCCTGCATAGCCCCAATCTCAGATCTCATTGCGGCTGAGGCGTAAGAATACTAATACGAGGCCGTGGTCTTCGGAAATGACGAAGACGACAAAAAGGAAAGAAACCACGGAATACAAAAGAGGCGGGATGGAAATTACTGGCATCCATCATCGAATCCAATTCAGCCTGACCCTTCATTGTTGCCCGGGCTCTTTTCTTTCTGCGCCCTGCAAATGTCACAGGCACGCTGCCCTCAGATGGATGGATGGATGGATGAATGGATGGATGCTTGGTTGGATGATCAGAGAGACAATCAGTCAGGCAGTCAGTAAAAGCAAATCACGGCTTACCTCTAATTCCTTTCGGGGGATTTTTTTTTCTTAAGAAAACCGTGAGGTTCGGGGATTCTCTCTAATGACAAGGCAGAACGCAACGAGCATCTGCCCGGTCTGAAACATTCTTACAGCCTGTTTGTCGGACGTTGGAGTGCCGGAGACTGCCTCCAGTCCACTTTACGGACTTCTTTCCTCAGTATATATGACGCACGCATGTGTGCTTGATAGCACCCCCCCTCCCCCTTCCAAAACATTTCCAGCTGAAATTCTCAGCATAGATTGTCATTCAGACCCCGGTTGTCTCTTGTCAAGTCTTTGATGCTGTGACTATTGCTTTCTTCATCCTCCAACTCACTCTTCACTCACTGTGATCCCATCCATCCACTCCAGACGGACCCGCCTCCTACAGTATGGCGAAGATCAACTCAGACAACCGGGTTCCGCCTGTCCCTCCAGTCCCTCCGGTTCCTCCTATTCATCACCCACCCGTTCAGTCAAACGAGCACCCTCGTATAGTAGCGATCAACCCCCAAGATCAAGCGAGTCCAGACTACTTGATTAACTCCATGAACCGGCTCCATGTACAGACCGAGAAGGCTTCCAACAAGAACACGCCGAAGCCAGGAGGCATAGCTGCCATGAATGACGTTGATACTGCTGCTCCCCTCTTCTACTTGGGGTATACCTTCTTCAAGGCCACCCCCACCCCCGGGAAGAAGAGCACATGGAGTCAAGTGGAGAGAGCGAAGATGAACCTTAGCCAATCGGACTTGATGAACATGGTGGTCAACCGGACCAAGAAGCTACCCGTGGCCGAGCAATACCATTCTTTGTCCAAGGTGAAGCGGGCCCACGTCGACCAACTGATTCACGAGCTTAGGTCCAGCGGTCCCCGATTCGAATGGGCTTGCGTCTATGTGAAGGAGGACGAGAAACCTGTTAGGGGCAAGAATACTCGACGCGGTGATTATGAGACGGTCTCGTTAGAAGTCATCATCCGGAAGAAGGCTGCAAGTCTGGTATACCCACAGGTTTCTGTCAATGAACCTGTGGAGAGAATAACCCCTACCGGAGACACCTTTCAAGCCCCTAGCAGCTATACTCTGTTCAACAGGGAACCCAGGTTGAGCCAAACTGTTCCTCCAACCAATCCATTGGCCAGGCACGCAGGATCTGCCGTCCCCCAGAGGCCCGCCGTCCATCAAGGGTCTGCTGTTCCCCAAGGGCCTGCCGTGCTTCAGGAACCTGCCACCCATCAAAGAACAGTGCCCGCAAGCATGGCTGATATCCAGCAGCCACTGCCTTCCAGGCCGAATCACCAGCCTCCACCTCCTCCTCCTCCACCACAGCATTCATTCCCGACAGGAGTACAGCGGCCCATCCCCCAGGAGCAATGGGCGGCTTGGATACAGCAGGGGATGCCAGCTGCTGCGCACCCACAATATCGTCCTTCTGCAGGAACTCATGATTCTGCAGCCACTCTTACAGAGCATGAGACGCAAAGGGGCATCCCACAGATGCCAACCATGTGGAATGATCCTCGCGGAGCTTCTGTCACACAGGGTACGGTCCATCGAAATCCCAATATTCATCTCCAACCCAGCCCGTTGAAGCCACCCGAGTTGCATGAGCTGGGTAAGACCAGGGCTCATACCCCCACGCATCATAAGCCTAATCATATCAACGCGGCAATGCCCGTCGCAGAGCCAGAGACAGACTTAGCCATTGAGTCAAGTAGTATGGGCGATGGGGAGTCTGAGTTCGACTTTGACGACGAAAGTTCAATGTCCGAGGGTTCGGATGAGGGTTTAGAAGCCGAAGAGAACCCTCAACCTCAACCATGGCGAGGCAGTCTCTACCGTCGCCATTCGGCCCCCAGCACCAAGCAGGTTTATCGAACACACTATCGCAAACAGCCTCAGAAAAGCAGTTCAAATCAGGGGACAGGGCGCAATGGTTACCCTGCAGGTTCCATTGATGTGGTCCCTGCCAAGAGTAATCACAACGACCCTAGGGTCATTCTCAGCCGAGAAGTTACACGGCCGGCCCGAGATCGGCCCAAGATTATCCAGGCGCCTGTTCCTCCCGAGGGGTTAGACATGAAGCAACTGGTCGAGGAGAGAATTGGCCGCTATGATGGCGGACGGATGCGAAACGATATTCGAACGCGGATGTTGGACGATCGGGAGGCGCGACTGGAGCATCGCGAGAGACTATTAGACCTCAAAGCGCGGGTCCTGGAGGAGGAGTGGGACAGTACATGTTACCTGCCCCGACGCATGTCACTCCGTGACTCAGGGTCATTTTATGCCCGACGATATCGTCCGTTGGACGATCTTCGCTGAGCCCCTTATGTTATGTACCTACTCATGTGCTTCTGATTCTAATGGTGGATCGGGGGGGTTTGTTTTCTCCGGTTAAGTTCTCCGTTTAATTTTCGGGCGTTTCCTCGGGTGAAGGGGGGATGTGGGTATGCTATAACGTCATTGCAGCGGGTGTGGGTTTTGGAGGTTGGCAGAGAAGTTTAGTTTCAACACCAATTTAGTTTGATGGATACACCTGAAATCAATTGAAGCACATGAATCGAGGAGAAGTAGCAGACAGCCCTGAGGCTTTGCAGGTCACGCGAATTGTTACCCAATTGCAGTAAGGCGAAAAGCAGCAGGGAAGCAGCAGAAGAATTGATGCAGAAGGAAAGCTTCCGGCTGCCAGCTCAGAGGTAGAAAGTAAGTGACTTATCGATAAGCCCCGCCATCGACCCTCCCACTCAAACCCAACCCTTCCCTTTCGTTCACACCGGCCCGAGCCCCGCCGTGCTTCTCGCTCTCCCCTCCCCCTCCGTGTTTCTCTCGTCTTCCTCGTCGTCATTCATTTCTTCTCGTCTTCCTCTTCTCCTTCTCTTCCTCTTCTCTTCTCCTTCTTCTCTCCTTCATACTATTCCTACTTCCAATTCACCCTCCCACTATACCTACCCCCCTTCTCGTCTCTCTTCTCGTCTCTTCCACTCACACAACCAAACTCTCCAAGATGCCTCGCCAATTCTTCGTCGGTGGTAACTTTAAGATGTACGACCTCTCCCAATCCCTGTTCAGCTTGCAGCAGCAGAAAGGAAAACAAACAAATCAGAGCCAAACTAACACTCAATCACCACAAAAGGAACGGTACTGCCGAGAGCATTACCTCCATCATCAACAACCTCAACAAGGCCAAGCTCGACGAGTCC